GCCCAGGCTGGAGTGCAGCGGTGCAATCTCAGCTCAATGCAACCTCTGCCTCTCGGGTTCAAGCGATTCTCCTGCCTCAGCCTCCTGAGTAGCTGGGATTACAGGTGCGCCTGCCACCACGCCTGGATAATTTTTTTTTTTTTTTTTTTTTTTTGAGACAGAGTTTTGCTCCCGTTACCCAGGCTGGAGTGCAATGGCGCGATCTCGGCTCACTGCAACCTCCGCCTCCTGGGTTCAGGCAATTCTCCTGCCTCAGCCTCCCGAGTAGCTGGGATTACAGGCACGCGCCACCATGCCCAGCTAATTTTTTGTATTTTTAGTAGAGACGGGGTTTCACCATGTTGACCAGGATGGTCTCAATCTCTTGACCTCGTGATCCACCCACCTCGGCCTCCCAAAGTGCTGGGATTACAGGCGTGAGCCACCGCGCCCGGCCCTAATTTTTGTACTTTTAGTAGAGACAGGGTTTCACCCTGTTGTTCAGGCTGGTCTCGAACTCCTGCCCTCAGGTGATCTACCCAAACTGTTGAGATTACAGGCATGAGGCACCATGCCTGGCTGCACTAGTGCATTAGCTTTTTTGGGGGGGCGGGGATGGAGTTTTGCTGTTATTGCCCAGGCACGAGTGCAATGACATGATCTCAGCTCACCACAACCTCTGCCTCTCAGGTTCTAGCAATTCTCTGACCTCAGCCTCCCGAGTAGCTGGGATTATAGGCATGGGCCACCACACCTGGCTAATTTTTTGTATTTTCAGTAGAAATGGGGGTTTCACCACGTTGGTCAGGCTGGTTTCAAACTCCTGGCCTCAGGTGATCCGCTTCAGCCTCCCAAAATAAGCTGGGATTACAAGCATGACCCACTGCGCCCGGCATTTTTTTTTTTTGAGACAGAGTCTTGCTCTTGTCATCCAGGCTGGAGTGCAGTGGCGCAATCTCAGCTCACTGCAACCTCTGCCTCCCAGGCTGAAGTGATTCCCCCGCCTCAGTGTCCTGAGTAGCTGGGATTACAGGTGCCTGCCACCATGCCCAGTTAATTTTTTTACTTTTAGTAGAGACAGAGTTTCACCATGTTAGCCAGGCTGGTTTCGAACTCCTGATCTCAGGCAATCCACCCACCTGAGCCTCCCAAAGTGATGTGATTACAGACATGAGCCACCATGCCCTGCCATCTTTTTTTTTTTTTTTTTTTTTTTTTTGAGACAGAGTCTCACTTTGTTGCCCAGGCTAGAATGCGTGGCGAGATCTCAGCTCCCTGCAAACTCCACCTCCCGGGTTCAAGCAATTCTCCTACCTCAGCCTTCTGAGTAGGTAGGACTACAGGCATGTGCCACCACACCCGGCTAATTTTTTGTATTTTTCAGTAAAGATGGGATTTAACCGTGTTAGCCAGGATGGTCTCGATCTCCTGACCTTGAGATTTGTCTGCCTAAATCTCTCAAACTGCTGGGATTGCAGACATGAGCCACCATGCCTGGCCTGCATTAGCTGTTGACTGAGCCTGTCACAGTGAGTACCTGGCCTGCATTAGCTGTTGACTGAGCTGTCACAGTGAGTACCTTGCCTGCATTAGCTGTTGACTGAGCCTGTCACAGTGAGTACCTTGCCTGCATTAGCTGTTGACTGAGCTGTCACAGTGAGTACCTTGCCTGCATTAGCTGTTGACTGAGCCTGTCACAGTGAGTACCTTGCCTGCATTAGCTGTTGACTGAGCCTGTCACAGTGAGTACCTTGCCCTCATTAACTGTTGACTGAGCCCGTCACAGTGAGTACCTTGCCCGCATTAGCTGTTGACTGAGCCCGTCACAGTGAGTACCTTGCCCTCATTAACTGTTGACTGAGCCCGTCACAGTGAGTACCTTGCCTGCATTAACTGTTGACTGAGCTGTCACAGTGAGTACCTTGCCTGCATTAACTGTTGACTGACTCTGTCACAGCGAGTACCTTGCCTGCATTAACTGTTGACTGACTCTGTCACAGTGAGTACCTTGCCTGCATTAGCTGTTGACTGAGCCTGTCACAGTGAGTACCTTGCCTGCATTAGCTGTTGACTGAGCCTGTCACAGTAAGTACTTTGCCTGCATTAGCTGTTGACTGAGCCTGCCACAGTGAGTACCTTGCCTGCATTAGCTGTTGACTGAGCCTGCCACAGTGAGTACCTCACCCTGTGCCCATACTTGGTGCACATTACCACTTCCTACAGAAAACTCTCCAGTGCTGAGCCAACTAAAAGGTTAGCGATTTGCTTATACCCCAAAAATAAGAAAAATGAAATAAAAATAAAAAAATAAAAGGGCAGTGACTAGCCACATGTATCTGTTAAAGGTTAACTAAACCTAGGCCAGGCACAGTGGCTCACGCGTGTAATCCCAGCACTTTGCGAGGCCAAGGTGGGAGGATCACTTGAGGCTTGGGCAACGTAGGGAGACCCCATCTCCACAAAAATAAAACAAGTAGCCAGGTGTACCGACGCACACCTGCAGACACAGCTACTTGGGAGGCTGAGGCGGGAGGACACCCTGAGCCCAGGAGTTGAGGGCTGGAGGGAGCTACGATCCCCCCAGTGTACTCTCGCCTGGGCCACAGAGGAAGACCCCGTCTATGACAGTTGATACTGAGCGTCAACTTGAATGGATTGAAGGATACGAGGTACTGATCCTGGGTGTGCCTGTGAGGGGGCTGCCAACGGAGACTACCATGTGAATCAGGGGATGGGAAAGGCAGGCGCATCCTCAGTCTGGGTAAGCGCCATCTAATCAGCAGCCAGTGTGGCTAGAATATAAGCAGGCAGAAAAATGTGAAGAGAGAGCCCGGCCCAGCCTCCCGCCTGCATCTTTCTCCCGTGCGGGACGCTTCCTGCCCTCAAACATCGGACTCCAAGTTCTTGAGTTTTGGAACCCAGACTGGCTCTCCTTGCTCTGAGGCCTGCAGGCGGCCTAGTGTGGAACCTTGTGATCAGGTGAGGTAATAATTAATTAACTTATATATCTAATATTCCATTAGTTCCATCCCTCTAGAGAACCTGAATACACTGTCTCAAAAAAAAAAAAAAGTTCATCAAAACTAAATAAAATCCAGGGTATAGTGGTTCATGCCTGCAATCCCAGCACTTTGGGAGGCCGAAGCAGGTCTATCACTTGAGGTTAGGAGTTTGAGACCAGCCTGATCAGCATGGTGAAACCCCATCTCTAGAAAAAATACAAAAATTAGCTGGACATAGTGGCACATGCCTATAATCCCAGCTACTCAGGAGGCTGAGGCAGGAGAATCACTTGAACCTGGGCGGCAGAGGTTGCGGTGAGCCACGATGGCACCATTTCACTCCGGCCTGGGAAACAAGAACAAAACTCTATCTGAAAAACAAAGCAAAAATAAATAAATAAAATCGAAACTTCCACTTCTCAGCCTCCCTGGCTGCATGTCAAGTGCTCAGAAGTCACATAAGCCTACTTGACTTCTGGGGTTACCAAAGCAAGCAGCAAAGGGAACGCTCTCAGCGATGCAGCACGTTCTCTCGGAGGGTGGTGGTCCATGGCTTCCCCATGCCCCCAAATAAAGCCTAAACTTTGCACCCTGAGGCTGAGATTCTGCACAACAAGCTCCCGTCTCGCCTCAGCCCACGCTGGTCCCTTCTGTGCCCAGCTCGTTCATGCCTCAGGACCTCTGCCTGGAACCCTGCTCTCCCTCCCCTGACCTTCCAGCAGTGCCGCCTTCTTCTCTGTTGCTTCACTGCATCCAGGACCCCTCCAAAGGGCCTCCCAGGGCCAGGCGCGGTGGCTCACGCCTGAAATCCCAGCACTTTGGGAGGCTTAGGCAGGCAGATCACCTGAGGTTGAGAGTTCGAGACCAGCCTGCCCAACACAATGAAATCCTTTCTCTACTAAAAGTACAATAATTAGCTGGGTGTGGTGGCAGGTGCCTGTAATCTGTGGTGGCAGGTGCCAGCTACTCCGGAGGCTGAGGCAGGAGAATCTCTTGAACTCGGGAGGCGCAGGTTGCAGGGAGCCGAGATCGCGCCACTGCGCTCCAGCCTGGGTTGCAGAGACTCCACCTCAAAAAAATAATCATAATAAAAAGGGGGGGCCTCCCTCCCTGCGCCTGGCTGACTCCCACCCCAAACCAAATCCCTGTACCCGCCACAAGGCCTGGTGCAGACCCGATTCTGAAAAACCGCTGGCTGAACACCGGGACGAGGGGAAGCGTGTGGGCGCTGATGGGGCCGCATTCCAGGATGCAATGGGCCGAAGTGGAGTGCGTTTCACCCTGGACCCCAAAATATCGCCGTTCTTAGGAGGAACCTCAGCTCCTCCCCTGTCCTTGAGGCTTCCCCAACTGGGTTCTCTCCCCGGACACCAGCCCCAAGAGCCTCTTACGGCCTGGCTCCCTCACTGCATCCAGGTCTTCGGGTCACCGCTCAGAAGGCTCCACTCAGAGCCCTCCCCGCCCCCTTCCCTGGTGTTATTTTATTTTGTGCTACAGAGAAAACTAGGAATGACATGATTTTTAAGTCGTTGAAAGTCGTCCCTCCCTCCAGGCGGCGGGCTGGGCGGGACCAGGCTGTGGGTCTTGCCCAAGACCCGCGGCACCGAGCGAGGAGACAGCCAGGCACACAGCAGGCGCCTAATAAAGACCTGCCCGCCATCTGGATGCCTCATTCGTACAGCGAAGGCGAGGGCGGCCTGCACGCTCTCAAACTGGAGGCTGCTCGGGCCGGGATGCGGAAGGCGCGGGCTCATTCATTCAATCGGCACTAAGTGAGCGCCTTCTGTGTGCCTCGCGCCGCTGGACACCGGAGCCCGGCCTCGGCTAACCGGCGGGCAGAGTCCACCAGACCACCGGCCGCCCAGCGCCTCCCGGCCCCGCCCTGCCGCCCCGGGTCATCCCTCAGCCCGCGCCTACCTCTCGGGGGCTCCTCGTCCCCCGACCGGCGCCGCTCCCCGCTCAACCGCCGCACAGTCTCGACCTCACAAACGCGGCCCGGAGAGGCCCCGCTCCCCGCGGCTGACCCACGCCCCGCCCACGCCCCTGCCCATTGGCTTCCCCGAGAGCCTCTGGCAGAATTTTTCGTGCTATTGGCTAGGGGACATGCCACTCACACGCGACTCCACCTCTTCTACCGGCGCTGGAAAGGGGTTTCCTCCCGCTGAGCGGCGGGCGCAGCCACCAAGCGGCCCCGGCGGGAAACTTGGATCGGCTAGGAAACGTTCCGGCAGGGTTTGGTTTCCAGAGCTGTCCAGGGGCGCCAGGTGCTGAATCCCGCTTGGAAGGAGGCTTGGGAGTGGACGGGAAGAGATTTCCCACGCGAGACGGCTCCTCTGTCATTGTCCCCGATGCTCAGACCCTTCCCGACGGCTGAAGAAGCAGATTCATCCCTTCAGCAAATCTCTGTGGACGGGCAGGAGGGGTAGGTTCACGAGATTGTACCTCATGGTGGCTACAGCTCATAACAACGCATTGCAAACTGGAAAATTGCCAAGAAAGTACATGCTGGCCTGGCGCGGTGGCTCACGCCTGTAATCTCAGCACGTCGGGGGGGGGGGGCCGAGGTGGGCGGTCGCCTGAGGTCAGGAGTTCGAGACCAGCCTGGCCAAACATGGAGAAACCCCATTTCTACTAAAAATACAAAATTAGCTGGGCATGGTAGCACGTGCCTGTAATCCCAGCTACTCGGGAGGCTGAGGCAGGAGAACTGCTTGAACCCGGGAGGCAGAGGTTGCGGTGAATCGAGGTCGCGCCATTGCACTCCAGCCTGGGCAACAAGAGCGAAACTCCGTCTCAAAAAAATAAAAAAGAAAACGAAAAGGAAGATGTTATGTTCAAACCATGAAAAAATAAGTATGGGAGGTAACATGTAAGTTAAAAACCAAATCTTGGCAGGGCGCAGTGGCTCACGCTTGTAATCCCAGCACTTTGGGAGGCTGAGGCAGGAAGATCACTTGAGTCCAGGAGTTCAAGGCCAGCCTAGGCAGCACAGTGAGACCTCCATCTGTACAGAAAAAAAATTTTTTTGAGATAGAGTCTCACTTTTATCACCCAGGCTGAAGTGCAATAGCGTGATCTTGGCTCACTGCAACCTCCAACTCCCGGTTCAAGCGATTCTTCTGCCTCAGCCTCCTGAGTAGCTGGGATTACAGACACCTGCCACCACGCCAGCTAATTTTTGTATTTTTAGTAGAGAGGTCTATAATTTAGTAGACCATTTTGGCCAGTCTGCTCTCAAACTCCGACCTCAGGTGATCCTCTTGCCTTGGCCTCCCAAAGTGCTGGGATTACAGGTTTGAGCCACTGTGCTTGGCCTCATGACTTAATTTTAACAAATAGAAAATGGCAAACTAACGGGCTATCATTCTGCGATTAGGCTGTAAGAGATTTTGACTTCTATTTTGCCAGCAGAGCCTGTCTCTTGCCTTCTCAGCCTGCATGCCTTGACGAAGCAAGCTAAGATGCTGGAGGGACTCACTTAGCTGGACACGGTGGCGCATGCCTGTAATCCCAGCTACTCGGGAGGCTGAGGCAGGAGAATTGCCTGAACCCAGGAGGTGGAGGTTGCGGTGAGCCGAGATCGCGCCATTGCACTCCAGCCTGGGTAACAAGAGCGAAACTCCGACTCAAAAAAAAAAAAAAAAAAAAAGAACTGTACCTGAATTCCTCACCCACAGAACCTGAGATAACACCTGCTGTTTCAAGCCACTTAGTTTTCTGTTTGTTTGCTTGTATTTTGAGACAGGGTCCTGGCCCATCACCCAGGCTGGAGTGCAGTGGCACAATCATAGCTCTCTGCAGCCATGACCTCCTGTGCTCAAGCAATCCTCCCGCCTCAGCCTCCTGAGTAGCTGGGAGCATGTGCCACCATACCCAGCTAATTTTTTACCTTATGCCGCTCAGGCCAGTCTTGAATTCCTGGATTCAGGAAATCCTGCGACCTCAGCCTCCCAAAGTGCTGACATTACAAGCATGAGCCACCATGCCTGGTGGCGATTTGGGGAATAATTTTTCATACAGCAATAGATGACTAATCCATATTCATACTAGAAAAACTACAGGTTTACCCAGTGCTGTGAAGAAAGAAAGAGAGCGACTTGTGTGCAGGAAATAGCCAAGTCAAATGTACTGAGACCAGGCATGGTGGCTCATGCCTGTAATCCCAGCACTCTGGGAGGCTGAGGTGGGCAGATCTCTTGAGGTCAGGAGTTCAAGACCAGCCTGGCCAACGTGGCAAACCCCCGCCTCTACCAAAAATATAAAAAACGAGCTGGGCATGGTTGCTGCCCTCCAGCCTGGGCAACAGAGTGAGCCTCCATCTCAAATAATAATGATGATGATGATGATGAACTGAGAGGTAGAGAGAGGAACAAGGATAGTTGATGAAAAGATGAAGTAGGGCTTCCTGCATTTGAGGAGTTGGAAAGCCAGCCTGGCTGGACGTTCTGAGCAGTGAGGAGATGAGAGATGACGGATAATCCCATAGACCGAGCTATGGAATTTGAATTTTACCGTAAGCGCAGTGTGATTCATTGAAGGGGTTTAAGTACGTGAGGGTTGTCATCTAATTTTACATCTTAAGATTATTTTGACTCGTGTGTAAAGAAAGGCTGAATTATAGAGAAGTAAGAATGGAAGCAGGGAGACTGCTTCAGAGTCCTCTAGGCAAGAGTTGGGCCGGGTGCCTTGGCCCACGCCTGGAAACCCAGCACTTTGGAAGGTCAAGGCAGGGAGATCATTTGAGTCCAGAAGTTTGAGACCAGCCTGGGCAACCTAGTGAGACCCTATCTCTATTTTTTTTTAAAAAAGGCTTGATGGTAATTTAGATGAGGGCATTGACAGGAGAGAGAAAGGACAGTGGGTGAATTTGAGAAATATTTTGGAGGTTGAATCCACAGGACTTGGCACTGGTTTGTCCGTGTGGGTGGCGGGAGAAGGAGGTGTCGGGGATGACTTCTAGTTTTCCGCCTGAGCCACTGGATGGATTCTGGTGCTCACTAAAAAAGGAAAGAATGGAGGAGGCACAGAGACGGAAGGTGTCAAAAGATGGAGTTCACTTTCACGGAGGCTATAAATGAGATACCTACAAGTTCTTAGCATTTAATGCCATTTCTGCCTGCGTGGAGCTGGTTTCACCACGTGAAACACGTGGATTGTGGCGGTTATTTTTGTTACGACACACAGAGTGATCTGACTGTTTCTGGTTTTCCATGACTCACAACAAGAAAAAGATGGCTTGTGTCAGGAGCACACCAGGTAGACGCCACAGGACGATTCCTTCCTCAGCGGAATTCATAGCGTGGGATATTTATTCATGATTATTTGGAGACTCAGGCTGCTCAGAGAAGGAGCTACATGAGCTTCTGCTGTTGATTCATTCAGTACGTGATTTTGAAAACCTTCTATACACCAGAGGCTATGTAGGAGCAGGCGTCTTCAGAGTGCAATAGAAAAAAATAATAATAATGAAAATTAAAAAAATAAAACAGTCCAGTCGCAGTGGCTCATGCCTGTGATCCTAGCACTTTGGGGGGGTGAAGGCAGATGGATCACAAAGTCAGGAGTTCGAGATCAACCTGAGCAACAGGGTGAAACCCCGCGTCTCTACTAAAAATACATGCGTGTGGCGCATGCCGATAATCCCAGCTACTCAGGAGGCTGAGGCAGGAGAATTGCTGGAATCCTGGAGGCGAAGGTTGCAGTGAGCCGAGATGGCACCATTGCACTCCAGCCTGGGCAACAGAGTGAGACTTCATCTAAAAAAAAGAACAAGAAAAAAACCCAGCACAGTGATGCATGCCTACCATTCCAGCACTTTGGGAGGCTGACATGGGAGGAGCTCTTGAGCTCAGGAGTTGGAGACAAGCTTGGGCAAAATGATGAGACCCTCTAATTTTTTTTTTTTTTTTTGAGACGGAGTTTCGCTCTTGTTACCCAGGCTGAAGTGCGATGACACGGTCTCGGCTCACTGCAACCTCCGCCTCCTGGGTTCAAGCAATTATCCTGCTTCAGCCTCCCGAGTAACTGGGATTACAGGCACGCGCCACCATGCCCAGCTAATTTTTTGTATTTTTTTAGTAGAGACGGGGTTTCACCATGTTGACCAGGATGGTCTCAATCTCTTGACCTCGTGATCCGCCCGCCTCGGCCTCCCAAAGTGCTGGGATTACAGGCGTGAGCCACTGCGCCTGGCCGAGACCCTCTATTTTTTAAAAAAATCTGACAAATTTGACTGCACTGGGTATTTCAAAAATCTTCCCTAGAAAAAGACACCATGAATAGGTTTAATAGACAAGTGACAGGCTGGGAGAAAAATGTTGATACTATATGAGAAGAGCCCTTGATAGAAAATAAACATCTTAAAATAAAAATGGGAAGGGAGATGAATAAGCAATCCACAGGAGAACCAATATAAGAAAAGAGTCTCAATCCACGAAGGTAATCATGAAAATACAAAATAAGGCCGGGCGCGGTGGCTCACGCCTGTAATCCCAGCACTTTGGGAGGCCGAGGCGGGTGGATCACGAGGTCAACAGATCGAGACCATCTTGGTCAACATGGTGAAACCCCGTCTCTACTAAAAATTACAAAAAATGAGCTGGGCACGGTGGCGCGTGCCTGTAGTCCCAGCTACTCAGGAGGCTGAGGCAGAAGAATCACTTGAAACCGGGAGTCGAAGGTTGCAGTGAGCTGAGATTGTGCCATTGCACTCCAGCCTGGGTGACAGAGTGAGACCCTATCTCAAAAAAAAAAAAAAATTAAGGCCGGGCGCGGTGGCTCAAACCTGTAATCCCAGCACTTTGGGAGGCCGAGGCGGGTGGATCACGAGGTCAAGAGATCGAGACCATCCTGGTCAACATGGTGAAACATCATCTCTACGAAAAATACATAAAATTATTTTGATTTTATTAAATTATTGAGTGAAACTCCGTCTCAAAAAAAAAAAAGGAAAAAGGATAGTGACAGAGTCAATACAGTCACATGAGCGATAAACAAGGGGTCCACCCCCCACTAGGTCACCTAGGCTAGGAGGTAGGCAGTGCACAGCAAAGAGGGTGCCGTGTGCAATAGCTCTTGTCTAGGGGCAGGCTGCTTCTAAGGAATTCTACAGGAGGATGCTTTCGAGTCAGCACAGAGCTGATGGGTTATACAGTCACCAAGCGCGATTACACCGGGGGGGGGGGGTTCTGAGCCCTCCAAGGCTCGCAGGAGTGCCGGTCTGAGGGCAGCCTTCCACAAGAACTGGACGCAAGGTCCTACAACTCCTTCATCAGGAGGAGAGGCTCTTGCCCCAAGCCTGCCACACAGCAGGTGTCTTTACGATACCGAACGGTGCCGCCTGGGCCGGATCCATGCCCTGGTATAACTGTTTTCCCCTTCAATCATGCTCTGCACCGTGTCTGCTCTAGACATTCCTCCAAC